CGAATGTAAGTCTTCCTTGTTCTCCATCAAAAATCCAATATACACATCACAAAGCAACATCAATTTATTTCATAAAGATTCGGAGTTGATTTTCAAATTTCTAACAATACACTGTTCTTTGCAATAAATACATCACTTTGGAGGAAATCGTGTCTTGATATAAACACAAAAAAACGTAATATTCTTTAGGAATCTGCACTAATATCTACTTCCTAAGACAACTCCTAATTCTCAATATGATATGTCAAGAAACACTACAATATTATTTTACATATAGTTAACTTCACAACTTTCCGATGTCACAAGTTTTAAGTCCATGCGAACAGCCACTACGAGCTGCGTAACCTTCTCTCACGGTAGGTGAACAGTTACTGAGCCACATGGATTAGCTCGCTCAGATGCTTCATACTTGTCCTATGTTGCGCATCCCATGTGTTTTTTATTCGTTTATTTCGTGATTTCGTGTTGATTTATGCCTATACCCATTATTTTTACGTTGATATGAATTAAAATTTATATTTAGATACTTACTGAGATAATATATATATACGTTCACCACGATTTATACGCGAGTTATTTCCTTAGCTTGTACGTCTGGCAGCGAAACAGCCATAAATAATAAAGTCCGACTATTGGCTAGTGAAAAGTAGGCGGAGTCACTACTTCCCATTACAAGCCGTTCTGCTCTTTCATTGGCCAGAATTTTGTCGCTGCCAGAACCCACCATCTCTGAATCATCTCATTCCTCATTATGTATTACAATTTCAACCTCTGAGAAGGAATGAGCGTCTTAAAAAAATGAGAACATTACCTCAGTGTTACCTCAAGAGGAGATGATATTTTTAATCCAATGAACATGAAAGGTTTGTGGGAATGGGCTATCTCGATCAAGTACGAATAGCAAAAGGAGTTTTATTATGCGTTATTTTTTTTTTTTTACATCGTATCCCGTGCCCCTTTTAAACTTTATTTGGCGCACTTTTTTAGAATATAAAGTGGCTACGTTTTTATTACTTAAGGGCGGGACGAAAGGCGAAAAGGATCGTTGCCTTGAAGCGGTTTCTTAAAAGATACTCCTCGAATGTTCTAGTTATATAAATGTTTTGACTAATCAAAAGTTATACAGTAGCCACAGGGTTGTATTTTTTTTGCAGCAATAAAAAGCTAAGCGGGAGACGTGAAAGACCGTGTATATTAATGCTGATTACATATCACAGCAAAGTGAACACTAAAAGCAACAGTATTTGCAATGTATTACTGCAGAGGTAGTTACAGACCTAACACGCGCTACCATAACCTCCAGTCATGCTACAAAGACTGCATTTAAAAGTTGCAGGTGTTATCGTTACGTTGAATTCTATAGCCGCTAACTAATAGTTTATAAATTATCGGTTTATTATCTACTATGACGTTAAAAGAAGATGGAAGCTTAATGAAAATTAGCTTCCTTTCCCAATCAAGTGTTGGCGATGAATGACAGTTACGCACTCCTGAATGCAATCGTAAAAACTGCATGCCAGTACCACATTCTTTTCTGCAATCTTCCAAGCTAAGTTCGTGATGCAACATCTTGCCCTTGCTGTATCGGTTGTCACACTTCAATTACCAAAAGCCATGTACACTTGAGGCATAATGTTACCCCTCATAAGAACTTGCTCTGAAAAACGAGCAAAACAGAGGACGGAACGCACAAGGCATCAATGTATATACGACAGGTCATAAAATTTCTCGAAAGAACTTGCATTAAGAGAGAAAAAAAATCACTTAGAACCCACAGGTAAATTACCTGAGTAATTAAGAAGCTTGGATACAGGGCTTGAGAATGACTTGGGTAATGAGAATTCCTCCTGAGATGACATGACCGCCTTGTTACCTGTCTCGGGCTGGTCCACACATACATACATACATACATACATACATACACACACACACACACATGCAAGTTGTATTATGCAATGTTGGTTATGATGATTGCAAATGATAAAGATAACACTGAAATGGATGAAAGGGATGATGGTATTGCCCGACATGGAAAATTACTAAATATAAACATAATATTCCATTAACAGGTATATCAAACCTAAAATTATAAACCCTGAAGAAAAAAAAATGACCAGTTACTTATACTGACATAAAATAATCACATCAATAGAAACTAAAATTATATCTACAATGATATTAACAGCAATAGTTCTAGGCGAGATGAAAGACCAAAATAAATAAACACATAAGACAATAATATACATATGAATAAACAAGAAGTAGCATAGAGGGAGTCAAGTTCTCCGAAGTTACACGTGCAGTACTTAAGTATCGAAAATTTATTGCTTAAACAAAACTACGCCAAGTAAACATAACCAGTAAAACTACCAAGCCATTGTGTGTGTGTGTGTGTATGAGTGTGTGTGTGCGCGAGCGGTTCTCTGTATATGCATGTATGTTTGTGTGTATACTGTGTCTGAGTGTGTATACGTACCTATCTATACTGTATGCATTTCTCTGCGTGTGTGTGTGCGTACGAGCCAGTCGTACCTATATATATATATATATATATATATATATATATATATATATATATATATATATATATATATATAGACACACACACACACCCACACACATATATATATATAAATAAATATATACATATTCATAAACATACACGTTTGTGTGCATGCAATTCTATACTGTTTATACTGTATATCCATACGTCTGTGTGTATTCCTATCTTTTAATGTATGCACGTAACTACAGACATCCGTATGTGTGCGAGTGTTTGCCATCGACAGCGAGGCTTCCAGCGGCCGTAATCCCCTGTAATCGGTGTTGTGGGCGTGAGCGTCGCCCGGGGCAACGATGCCCAGGGGCGCCTCTGCGCGACGGTCGCTCCCTTGCGAATCGTGGCCATAATAAGCGTAGGTTTTTATCCGTTCTTTGTGAAACCGATAATGCTATTAGCGGGCTATCACCGATAAGGGTGGTGGGAGTAAAGGAAATTGGTTAAAAATAGTAATAGTGGAATTACAAGCAACGTACTATTAAAAATACTAGCGGAGCTACTAGTGATGGTAGTAGGCGTAGTAGTAGCGGTAATAGTGACAATAATGACGATAATAATAACAGTGATGATATCTGCAACTGCAGCAACAATAGAAATACTAAGAACAACAGCAATATGAATAATAAACATAATAATAACGGCAAATAATAGTACGATAATAATAATAATGATAATAATAATAATAATAATAATAATAATAATAATAATAACAATAATGATAATAATACAATGACAATAATGATAACAGCAGTAACAAAAAAAATGATTATCAGAAAGAATATTCATAACTGTAGCTTTAATAATGATGAGGATAATAATAATGAAACGATAACATCAACAATAAAACTCGTAATCCTAGAAAAACTAGAGTAAGAATGATGATAATCAGAATTGCCATACAAAAAAAAAAAAAAAAAAAAAAAAAAAAAATCATCACACACGTCAAAACAAAGTCACAGCAATGACAAACACAACAAAGGAAACAACAGCAAACATTCAAATACGACAAGAAGCGCATAAAACAGCAAACAACCAAAACAAAACAGCTGCACTGCTTCCACCGACTGCATCACACACACACACACACACACACACACACACACACACAAACACACACACACACTAATAACAAAACCTAAAAACCCACACAAACACCCGCGCACACAGATACACACCCGCGCCCTCCCCTCTCCTACAGACACGCCAACGTTTATAAACACAACCCCACGGCCACTCACGCCCACAAAACAATATTAGAAGGGACATCTCCCCATCCCCCTGTCTCCCTCTCGACCTCCTCTAAGTGATAAAGGATTTATATGGCCGGTTTGTTCAAATTATGCGAGGCCCGACCCACTGAATACTCGTATATAAGGACATGCATATACGAAGATATAATTGTATTTTTGTCTATCTGTTACATTCATCTATCTATCTATCCGGTAGATATGCATGTCTAGACTGAGAGACTTGTATTTATCTATATGCATATGCATATCTGTATAATATCAATTGGCCGTTAATAATAATAAAATAAACATAATGATCATAACAATAATGACAACGGCAGCAAAATTATAATAATGATAATAATAATACCAATATCAATAAAAAACATAATAACAATCATCATCATCACAATAATAATAATAATAATAATAATAATAATAATAATAATAATAAATAAGTAAAAATAACAATAACAATAAAACAGCAACACCAACAACTATAATAATAATGATGATAACTGTAATAATAATAATAATAATAATAATAATAGTAATAATAATAATAATAATAACGATAATGACAATGATAACAATAATAATAATGACAATAAGAATGATAATAATAATAATAATAATAATGATAATAATAGCAATAATGATAATAATAATAATAACAATAACAGCAATAATAATAACAATAATATAATAAATAATAATAATAATGATAATGATAATGATAATAATAATAACAATAATATAATAAGTAATAATAATGATTACAATGATATACTAAATAATAATAATAAATATCTAATAACATTTAATACATACTAAAAAAAAGCAACTTGAATTTACAAAATAATAATCTGAACCAAATTCACGCTCACAAAAAACACACAAAAAATAAGAAATAAATTAAACATAAAGAGGGACAAAAAAAACACTGCTCCCAAAACTAATAAAACGTGTCATCGAAAGGACAATATATTACACCCGGTTATATCCCAGGAACAATAAACACATTCGCACATCCCGCACGCCCTGGACGGAGACCCCCTCCCCCCCCCATGCTCTGTAGCTCGCAAACTCTCGGGATCGTCTCAAGAACAAGAGTGTGTGGTAGGGTGTGTTGCAAAACTTAGGCGTAGAGTGTATTTGCAAGGTTTGGGGAACGTGGAGGAAGAGGGTAGGAGGAGGGTAGGAGGAGGGTGGGATAGGGTGAGGTAGGGTGAGGGTGAAAGTGTGTGAGGGTGGTGGGGATGGACCGTGTTGGGTAAGTGGGGTTAGGACAGAGTGGCAAAGGAGTGAAATCACTTATCAGTGGGGAGGGAAAACGGTGGGGAAAGTGGGTAGAGGAGGGAAGAGTAATACTGGGTTGGGGGTGCTAAGGGAGGGAGGGGTAATGGTGGATTGGGGGTGATAGTAGGTGGGGAATAAAAATAGGAGGGGGGGGAGCGATAGAAGGGGGGGTCTTTCTCATTAGCTTATACGAACCTTGTCTAACTACCGCGGGTCAACGGGGCGTGGCAAGTCATCGTATTTCGGGAAAGCTAGAGAGGCGCGTC